TTGTATTTTTTTTTCATTTTTTTTATTTTTTGATGTTTCGATTTCTCAAGATTTTTCAATTTTTTAATGTTTCAATTTCTCGTTCTTTCATTATTTCATTTTAAGATTTTTTCAATTCTTCCATTTTTTTTTTTCGATTTTCCAAATTTCAATTGTCGTTTCTAAGTTTTAGTTTGTCGATTTTTCGAATTTTTGATTCCTCGATTATTCGAATTTTCGATTTCTCGATTTTTCCCATTTCTCGATTTCTCCACTTTTCGGTGCTTTTTCAATTCTTCAATTTTACGTATTTTCAAGTTTTTAATCTTTGACTGATGGATTGAATTTTTTGATTTTTTAATGTTTGAATTTGTCGAGATTTTTCAATTTTTTGATTCTTCAGTTTCTGTACATTTTAATTTTTCCATTTTTTTTTTAATTTTGAATTTTTCGAATTCTCGCTGTTGCAGTACTTTGAGTTTTCTGTTTTCCAGTTTTTCGAATTTTTAAATTTGTTTTGGGCTTTCAGTTTTTCGATTTCTAGATGTTTCCATTTTTTGATTTTTAAAATTTAAAATTTTTCTATTTTAAATTTTTCAATTGTTCCATTTTTTAAGGTTTCAATTTCTCTATTTTCCAATTTTTCGATTTTTCTGTTTTTTAATACTTTAAATTTTCGATGTAACGAAACGTGGTGAAAAACTTCGGGTCGATTTATAAACTTGCCGCTGACGTTGCTATATATATTAAGAAAAGAAGACAAAATATAAACCCCGCCGACCCACCCCATCCCAATTAAATGACTTTTTATTCGTAGAAACTTAAGACATTTTTTAAATTTTCGATTTTTCGACATTTCGTTTTGTATTTGTTTTTTAATTTTTTTTATTTTTTGATGTTTCGATTTCTCGAGATTTTTCAATTTTTTAATGTTTCAATTTCTCGTTCTTTCATTAATTCAGTGTTAGATTTTTTCAATACTTCCATTTTTTTTTCGATTTTCCAAATTTCAATTGTCGTTTCTAAGTTTTAGTTTGTCGATTTTTCGAATTTTTTATTCCTCGATTATTCGAATTTTCGATTTCTCGTTTTCTCCACTTTTCGGTGCTTTTTCAATTCTTCAATTTTACGTATTTTCAGGTTTTTAATCTTTGACTGATGGATTGAATTTTTTGATTTTTTAATGTTTGAATTTGTCGAGATTTTTCAATTTTTTGATTCTTCAGTTTCTGTACATTTTAATTTTTCCATTTTTTTTTAATTTTGAATTTTTCGAATTCTCGCTGTTGCAGTACTTTGAGTTTTCTGTTTTCCAGTTTTTCGAATTTTTAAATTTGTTTTGGGCTTTCAATTTTTCGATTTCTAGATGTTTCCATTTTTTGATTTTTAAAATTTAAAATTTTTCCAATTAATAATTTTTCAATTGTTCCATTTTTTAATGTTTCAATTTCTCTATTTTCCAATTTTTCGATTTTTCTGTTTTTTAATATTTTAAATTTTCCATGTAACGAAACGTGGTGAAAAACTTCGGGTCGATTTATAAACTTGCCGCTGACGTTGCATTATATATTAAGAAAAGAAGACAAAATATAAACCCCGCCGACCCACCCCATCCCAATTAAATGACTTTTTATTCGTAGAAACTTCAGACATTTTTTAAATTTTCGATTTTTCGACATTTCGTTTTGTATTTTTTTTTTAATTTTTTTTATTTTTTGATGTTTCGATTTCTCGAGATTTTTCAATTTTTTAATGTTTCAATTTCTCGTTCTTTCATTACTTCAGTTTTAGATTTTTTCAATTCTTCCATTTTTTTTTTCGATTTTCCAAATTTCAATTGTCGTTTCTAAGTTTTAGTTTGTGGATTTTTCGAATTTTTGATTCCTCGATTATTCGAATTTTCGATTTCTCGATTTTTTCCCATTTCTCGATTTCTCCACTTTTCGGTGCTTTTTCAATTCTTCAATTTTACGTATTTTCAAGTTTTTAATCTTTGACTGATGGATTGAATTTTTTGATTTTTTAATGTTTGAATATCTCCAAATTTTTCAATTTTTTGATTCTTCAGTTTCTGTATATTTTAATTTTTCCATTTTTTTTTATTCTCGCTGTTGCAGTACTTTGAGTTTTCTGTTTTCCAGTTTTTCGAATTTTTAAATTTGTTTTGGGCTTTCAATTTTTCGATTTCTAGATGTTTCCATTTTTTGATTTTTAAAATTTAAAATTTTTCTATTTTAAATTTTTCAATTGTTCCATTTTTTAATGTTTCAATTTCTCTATTTTCCAATTTTTCGATTTTTCTGTTTTTTAATATTTCAAATTTTCGTTGTAACGAAACGTGGTGAAAAACTTCCGGTCGATTTATAAACTTGCCGCTGACGTTGCTATATATATTAAGAAAAGAAGACAAAATATAAACCCCGCCGACCGACCCCATCCCAATTAAATGACTTTTTATTCGTAGAAACTTAAAGACATTTTTTAAATTTTCGATTTTTCGACATTTCGTTTTGTACTTTTTTTTTCATTTTTTTTATTTTTTGATGTTTCTATTTCTCGAGATTTTTCAATTTTTTAATGTTTCAATTTCTCGTTCTTTCATTATTTCAGTTTTAGATTTTTTCAATTCTTCAATTTTTTTTTCGATTTTCCAAATTTCAATTGTCGTTTCTAAGTTTTAGTTTGTCGATTTTTCGAATTTTTTATTCCTCGATAATTCGAATTTTCGATTTCTCGATTTCTCCACTTTTCGGTGCTTTTTCAATTCTTCAATTTTACGTATTTTCAGGTTTTTAATCTTTGACTGATGGATTGAATTTTTTGATTTTTTAATGTTTGAATTTGTCGAGATTTCTCAATTTTTTGATTCTTCAGCTTCTGTACGTTTTAATTTTTCCATTTTTTTTTAATTTTGAATTTTTCGAATTCTCGCTCTTGCAGTACTTTGAGTTTTCTGTTTTCCAGTTTTTCGAATTTTTAAATTTGTTTTGGGCTTTCAATTTTTCGATTTCTAGATGTTTCCATTTTTTGATTTTTAAAATTTAACATTTTTCTATTTTAAATTTTTCAATTGTTCCATTTTTTAATGTTTCAATTTCTCTATTTTCCAATTTTTCGATTTTTCTGTTTTTTAATATTTTAAATTTTCGATGTAACGAAACGTGGTGAAAAACTTCGGGTCGATTTATAAACTTGCCGCTGACGTTGCTATATATATTAAGAAAAGAAGACAAAATATAAACCCCGCCGACCCACCCCATCCCAATTAAATGACTTTTTATTCGTAGAAACTTAAGACATTTTTTAAATTTTCGATTTTTCGACATTTCGTTTTGTTTTTTTTTTTCATTTTTTTTTATTTTTTGATGTTTCGATTTCTCGAGATTTTTCAATTTTTTAATGTTTTAATTTCTCGTTCTTTCATTATTTCAGTTTTAGATTTTTTCAATTCTTCCATTTTTTTTTTCGATTTTCCAAATTTCAATTGTCGTTTCTAAGTTTTAGTTTGTCGATTTTTCGAATTTTTTATTCCTCGATTATTCGAATTTTCGTTTTCTCGATTTCTCCACTTTTCGGTGCTTTTTCAATTCTTCAATTTTACGTATTTTCAAGTTTTTAATCTTTGACTGATGGATTGAATTTTTTGATTTTTTAATGTTTGAATTTGTCGAGATTTTTCAATTTTTTGATTCTTCAGTTTATGTACATTTTAATTTTTCCATTTTTTTTTTTAATTTTGAATTTTTCGAATTCTCGCTGTTGCAGTACTTTGAGTTTTCTGTTTTCCAGTTTTTCGAATTTTTAAATTTGTTTTGGGCTTTCAATTTTTCGATTTCTAGATGTTTCCATTTTTTGATTTTTAAAATTTAAAATTTTTCTATTTTCCAATTTTTCGATTTTTTTGTTTTTTAATATTTTAAATCCCCATCCCAATTATATGATTTTTTATTCGTAGAAACTGAAGACATGTTAAAAATGGAAAATTTTTGGTAAGGAAATATGGATTTTATAATTAAGTTCTTCTAGGTCTGGCAAAGCATGAAAACTTCATGACTAAACTTAACTCACTTGACATATACCTAGGTAAGAGTTTACAACTCCATTATGGCTACAATTGACAGTAATAATCCTTGCGGTCTGGGTCCATAAAGCTTACAATAGCCAGTTTGACTTAAGCCGTTCAAATCAAAAGTTTTACTAAGTGTATATCAAGTGAGTTTAGTATACATATCTATGGTTTGGGCTTAATCTTTGGCTTTAATTTTTTCTTAATATACATAGTATTTTTTTAACAAAACGATACTCAAAAACCTGTTTTTTATTGTAGAGAAATAAGAATATTGCAATTAAAAAATCAGCATAATTAAGATAGGGCGGATCGATGGGGTTACTACATCTTCCCTTTTTTCTAAGTATGTGTAGACTTATTTCTACAACAAGAAACTTAAAACATGTCTAAAATGGTAAATTTGTATAGCGAAATATCGATTTTGCAATTAGGCTTCAACCCATAATTGCAAAATCCATATTTCCTTGAAAAAATGTACCATTTAACCATGTTTTAAGTTTCTTGTTGTGAAAAGATGGCTATGTATATTAAGAAAAAATTGCAAATACATGTTTTTTATTTCTTGTAGAGAAATAAGGAGTTTGCAGTTAAGCTCCGCCCCCTTGGCTCACGACGAATAAAAGAAACATCACAATTGAGATAGGGTGGGTGGGCGGGGCTACATTTTCTATTTTTCAACTTTTGATAAAATGTAAAATTTTATTTATAAAGTGGCGTTAATAACTACTCCGAAAAATTGAAAAATCGAAAAGTAAAAAAATCGGAAAGTGTAAAAGCTGAGGACTGTAAAAATTGAAAATTTGGAAATTCGACAAGTAGAAAGATTCAAAATTCGAGAATCGAAAACTCGAAAAGCAAAAAAATTGAAAGTTTTAATGAATCGATTGCTTGACTAAACAGAAAATCAATTTCTCCGACTAGTGACTTTTGACTTAACGAATTGGTAGCACTGATAGTTCAAATGATTATTATAAAACCGGCCAAAATTTAATTAATTCCAGATTCCAACAACTAATACCGTTTTTGTTTATTAATTAGAAATCTGGAGTGTAGTTTTACTTTTTTGCGTTAGTGCGTTATTGTTGCACAAGTGAATAAATTTTTGAGGTTACGTCACCCGCAAGTGTCACTTTAAATTTAGCCGGAATTAAATTCGTCAAAAATGTCTCATACTTTACGACTCACACTCAGGACCCTTTGTTACCCCTTGAAAACCGACTTACTCAAACTAGCACCCGTTTCGTCGCCCCAAAGTAAGTAACAATTTTCTAACCCCACTTTCTCACCGCGATTTCCAGCATGCCGCTATTTGTACGCCAAAGCGACAATCGGGATTGACGCTTTCAGAGAGCAGCAGAAACAAACCAAGAGTCAGATGTTAAACATAGAGGCGAAATTCCGGGAGCGGATGAAGGGTTTTGCGGCTGAAGACTCCTCGAGTATGATTTTTACAGAAGACCTTAAAAACATGGTGCATATAGCAGAAACTGACGAAGATTTCGACTTAGTTGTAAAAATGGCGAAAAAGTAGGTTTTTGCGTGTCGTTTCATTATATAACTTGGGGGTTGTAGGTTCAATGGACAAAACAAACAGCTCCGGTTTGGCAATTTCGTTTTTGGGCCTGTTGTGATGCGCATGCTTCACGTTTTTAATAAGCCCGACTTGGCGCTGGAGTGCTTTAAGTCGCCGGAGCTCGAGGGACTGTTCGATCAGTTAATCACGTACCAGATTTTGTTAGATTTGTTGTATGAGAATGACAAGTATCAAGAAATGCTGGAGGTGTTTGACTTAGTCAAGGGCAAACAGTTGCAGGGGGCGAAGTACCCTAGGAACGCGGTGGTTCTTGTGATGGCCGGGTGCTACAAACTCGTAATAAAATTGTGTGATTTTTGTCACCAACTGATTTGTTTTTTTTGTAGAATTCTAAAGAAGGTACTGAGTATGCTTTAAACTTGTGGAACGAGTTGATGGCTGCGGGTCACTTCCCCATGCGTCGAGCGACGACGTTCTGCGCAGGTCTGGCTTTAAACCAGGGTAAACCTGAAGTCGCTTTAGAGATTCTAGGGGCGGTGAAAAACCCCAACTATGTCACGATTCGTAACTTAAAAGTATGTATTGACACGAAGCGCGACTTTTAAAAATTGTCTGAGTACTTAGGTGAGGGCTTTGAGCGAAATTGGACGCGTAGAAGACGCCATCGTTTTACTTAAGTCAGTAATCGCGACGGACCAACCAGGAGAAGTCACCCAGACTTTTAACAAAGAAGTAATGGAGTGTGTGAAAGCCGCGGTGGACAAACTTGAAAATCCAGACCTCACGTTGGAGTACAACAAGGTGGAGAAGTTGTTTGAAAAGGAGGGGCACATCTCAGATTTGGTAATCACAATGAGGTGTCATTGCTTGCCATTAATACCGTTTTTCAGACTTTGGATTCCCATTTATGTTCGGAAATCCAGCAGCCCCCTATCATGAATAATCGTCAAATAAATAAATTTAGTCGCTTTAGAGACAACACACGGAACACCGGTGATAGTGGCTACAACCGACCTCAAAGGCGGCCCGGCCTTAAAGAAATGGTTTAATTGTCTCCTTGTAGTGATAGTAAAAATAAACACTTTTCTAATTAGACAAAGACGACACCAATCCACTGTCGCCTCTTTTTTCTATTAATAGCCCCACTTGTCGGCGACATTTCTTTAAAACTCAGTCATCTCCGGCAAAATAACAACTCGAAATTCCTGCGTGTCGCGCTTTCCTAAAGGCGCTTATTCATGCGGCTGACCTTGAGAGTTCTTAAGTTCAAGGTTTCTTGTCCCTTGTTACGTCGTCTGCGGACAAGCTTTTCTCTTTTTTTTGTCCCGTCAATGATGGGTCCGTCAAGACCGAGCTGAAAGAGCAAGGCAAAGTGAAGATGTTCATAACTGTTGCTTTTTGTGTAAGGTGAACGACCAACCTAACTGTACACTACCTGCAGTTGACTTATCGTTTTTGACTACACACGTAAGTACAATCGCTCGCTGCGAATTTATTGCGGAATATTGAGTGGGCTCGGGTGGTTTTGTGGTGGTTTCCGAGGACGACGTGGAACGTGTAAGAATAGTTTATCTGTGTAGCGGCACGTGCTTTTAAAATTCGCTTGGACCGACGTGATTATAATTCAGTGCGGGTTCATGGTTTATTCGGTCAAGGATAGAATTTTTCATGGTTGTAATTACAATATTGTGTAAATCGAACAAGCTCTAAACACTCAGTTAGTTTCTTGTTGGCGGGATTAGGTCATGTGTTGTCGTTTCCTGGTGAAAAAGCGTGTACACATGCTTGGGAATGTGATAAGGATGTCTACACTTTGGTTGTAATGCATGCCATAAATTTTTGTTTTTGTTAATGTAAGATATAGCCGGATGTGGGGGGGGGTGAATCATGCGATTTGAAATGAGCTAATTGCTTTGTGGATTAAACTGCGTTGTAAACAGTAAATAAGATAATGGGAGTACTTATGAAATGGGTAGAAAGTTTCGAGCGACTGCTGCTAAAGGAATCGCGTTTTAATGCTAATTATGCCTGGACGCGTTTGTCCTTAGTGATTTTACGCACGTGTTTGCTAACATTGAAAAAGTGCCACTTTATATTTTTTTCGTAACAAAGAAACACAAAAAAGAATAGAAAGGTCGTTTTAATTTTAGATTTGGTCTTGGCTGTGTCGTGGGCGGATTATTCAATGTTTGCGTTATTATTGTTACTACAACTATTCTAAATAACATGCTTTCTGTTCTTAAGGGCACCCGTAATAAATTTGGTAAATAAAGATTCATTTATTGTTAAAAAATCACTCTACACATACTCAAACAAAAAGACGTCAAGTACGTAAAAAATATATAGTGTTCCAAGAAAAAAACGAATTTTATTTTGCGCCTCAAACTCTAGAATTTCTTAATTCTTTATTGTGAATAATAATTTTTGAAATGATGTCACTAATATATTTGTCTGCGAGTTATTCCTTTGAATTATCAAAAAATGTCAAAAAAGTGGAATACGTGGCAATGTCGCAAAAATTTTTCAAAAATAAGATATGGTCATAAAAAAAGGCCAATCAAAACCTGAAAAAAAATTGTGTTCTAATAAAAAAAAACAAGTTTTATATTGTACCTCATAAATTATTGAGTTTCTTATTTATTTAGTATGATTAATAATAATTTTCACGAATATTTTTGTCGGTAAAGTTATTCCTTTGAATTGTTAAAAAGTGCCAAGAAAATGGGAATAAGTGGCAACGTCGCATCAAATTTTCAAAAATAGAATATAGTTGTAAAAAAGACAGCAATCAGGACATGAAAAAATATGTAGTGTTGCAATAAAAAAAAACAATCCTTATAAATTCTTGGGTGGGGCTAAAATTTAATTGTTTTCTAGTTCTAGGAGCAAGCAATAGCCACGCCTACCCAACCCTTCTTTGTCTCAGTGATAGTTCTTAATATTGTTCAGTCCCATCTTAGCAAATTTTAGCCCCACCCACCCACCCTTTTTTTCTTGGAAGAGTGGGTCATCTGCCAAAATCAGTCTTATCTTGACAAGTACCAGCCCCACCCATCCACCCTTATTTTCTTGGAGGATATGTCATTTGCAAAAATCAGTCCCATACTTGCCAAGATAAGATCGATTTTTGCAGATGATCTATTCTTCCAAGAAAATAAAGGGTGGGTGGGCGGGGCTAGTACTTGTCAAGGTTTTATTGTCTTAGAAGAGTAGGTTATTTGGCAAGTACTAGCACCACCCTCCCGCCCTTTGTTTTCTTAGAGAGTAGATCATTTACAAAAATCAGTCTTATCTTACCCGCCCACCCGCCTTCTCTCGATTGTAATGATTTTTTTATTCGCCGTGAACCAAGAGGGCGGAGCTTAACTGCAAAATACTTATTTCTTTACAAGAAATTAAAAATATGCTTTTAAGTATCGTGTTGTTCAAAGAATACTAATAGTATATTATTAGAAAAAAAGGCAAAATAGTAGAAACATGAAACACGTTTAAAATGGTAAATTTTTGTAAAAAATATGGATTTTGCAATCAGTCTCCACCCCTTGGCTAACGATAAATAAAAAAAATCGTCCGAAATGAGCGAGGGCGGGTGGGCGGGGCTTATATTTCCCCTTTGTTTTCTTAATACGCATAGTCATGTTTTCATAATAAGAAACTTAAAACATGGTTAAAATGGTACATTTTTGCAAGGAAATATGGATTTTGCAATTATGGGGCGGCGTCTCATTGTAAAATCGATATTTCCTTATACAAATTTTCAGTTTTAAACATATTTCAAGTTTCGTGTTGTGAAAAGAAGTCTACACATATTAAAACACAAAGACAAAATGTCAGCCCGCCCTCCCACCCTATCTCAATTGTGATGATTTTTTTTATTCGCCGTGAACCAAGAGGGCGGAGCTTAACTGCAAAATACTTATTTCCTTACAGGAAATTAAAAATATGTTTTTGAGTATCGTGTTGTTCAATGAATACTACGTGTACCTATTAAGAAAAAAAAGCAAAATATTGGAAATTTAAAACACGTTTAAAATGGTAAATTTTTGTAAGAAAATATGGATTTTGCAATTAGGCTCCGCTCCTCGGCTTACGATGAATAAAAAAAAATCATCCGAATTGAGAGAGGGCGGGTGGGCGGGGCTTATATTTCCCCTTTGTTTTCTTAATACGCATAGTCATGTTTTCATAATAAAAAACTTAAAACATGGTTAAAATGGTACATTTTTGCAAGGAAATATGGATTTTGCAATTATGGGGCGGAGTCTCATTGTAAAATCGATATTTCCTTATACAAATTTTCAATTTTAAACATATTTCAAGTTTCGTGTTGTAAAAAGAAGTCTACACATATTAAAACACAAAGACTAAATGTCAGCCCGCCCACCCGCCCTATCTCGATTGTGATGATTTTTTTTATTCACCGTGAATCAAGAGGGCGGAGCTTAACTGCAAAATACTTATTTCTTTACAAGAAATTAAAAACATGTTTTTGAGTATCGTATTGTTCAAAGAATACTACGTAAATTAAGAAAAAAAGACAAAATATTAGAAAATTTTTGTAAGTAAATATGGACTTGGAATTAGGCTCCGCCCCTCGGCTTACGACGAATAAAAAAAAAATCATCAGTACTGAGATAGGGCGGGTGGGCGGGGTTTATGTTTTGCCTTTTTTTTTCTTAATATACATATCTATCTTTTCACATCAAGAAATTTAAAATGATACATTTTTGCAAGGAAGACTAATTGCAAAATCGATATTTCCTAGTACAAATTTTCCATTTTAAACATATTTTAAGGTTCATTTTGTGAAAAGAAGTCTGCACATATTAAAACAAAAAGGCAAAATATAAGCCCCGCCCTCCCACCCTATCTCAATTGTGATGATTTTTTTATTCGCCGTGAACCAAGAGGGCGGAGTTTAACTGTAAAATACTTATTTCCTTACAGGAAATTAAAAACAAGTTTTTGAGAATCGTGTTGTTCATAGAATACTATGTATATTAGAATAAAAAGACAAAATATTAGAAGTATAAAACACGTTTAAAATGGTAAATTTTTGTAAGGAAATATGGATTTTGTACTTTGCTCCGCCCCTCGGCTTACGACGAATAAAAAAAAATCATTACAATTGAGACAGGGCGGGTGGGCGGGCTTCCATTTTGCCTTGTTTTTCTTAATATATATATCCATTTTTTCACAACAACAAACTTAAAACACGGTTAAAATGGTATATATTTCCTTATACAAATTTTCTATTTTATACATATTTTAAGTTTCATTTTGTGAAAAGAAGTCTGCACATGTTAAAACAAAAAGGAAAAATGTAGCCCCGCCCACCCACCCAATTTCTATTGTGATGATTTTTTTTTATTCGCCGTGAACCAAGAGGGCGGAGGTTAACTGCAAAATACTTGTTTTTTACAAGAAATTAAAAACAGGTGTTTGAGTATCGTGTTGTTCATGGAATACTATATATATCAGAAAAAAAGGCAAACTATTAGAAACATAAAACACGTTTAAAATGGTAAATTTTTGTAAGGAAATATGGATTTTGCAATTAGGCTCCGCCCCTCGGCTTACGACGAATAAAAAAAAAATCAACACAATTGAGACAGGGTGGGTGGGTGGGGCATATATTTTGTCTTTTTTCTTAATATACGTAGTCGCCTTTTCAGAACAAGAAACTTAAAACATGTTCATTCTTTAGACAAATATGGATTATGTAATTAAGCCCCGCCCCTCCATCTGACAACGAATGAAAAATTCATCATAAGTGAGAATTGAGATCGGGGAGGGTATCGGTGGGGCCTAATCTTTAGTTCTATTTTTTTTCTTAATCTATATAGTATTCTTTGAACAATACGAAGCTCAAAGACATGATTTTAATTTCTCATAGATAAGGATTTTGCAGTTAAGCTCCGCCCCCTTGGCTCATGACGAATAAAAAAATCATCACAATTGAGAAAGGGCGGGTGGGCGGGGCTTATACTTTGCTCTTTTTTTCTTAATATACATAGCCGTCTTTTCACAACAAGAAACTTAAAACATGGTTAAAATGAAACATTTTTGCGGGGAAATATGGATTTTGCAATTATGGGGCAGAGTCTCAATGTAAAATCGATATTTCCTGATACAAATTTACGTTTTTAAATATGTTTAAAGTTTCATGTTGTGAAAAGAGGTCTACACATACTAGTAAAACAAAAAGGCAAAATATAAGCCCGCCCACCCACCCTTTCTCGATTGTGATGATTTTTTTATTCGCCGTGAACCAAGAGGGCGGAGCTTAACTGCAACATACTTATTTCTTTATCAGAAATTAAAAACATGTTTTTGAGTATCGTATTGTTCAAAGAATACTACGTAAATTAAGAAAAAAAGACAAAATATTAGAAAATTAAAACACATTTAAAATGGTAATTTTTTGTAAGAAAATATGGATTTTGCAATTAGGCTTCGCCCCTCGGCTTACGATGAATAGAAAAAATCATCAGAAATGAGATAGGGCGGGTGGGCGGGGTTTCTATTTTGGCTTTTTTTTTCTTAATATACAAATCCATCTTTTCACAACATGATATTTAAAATGATATATTTTTGCAAGGAAGTATGGATTTTGCAATTATGGAGCGAAGACTAATTGCAAAATTGATATTTCCTTGTATAAATTTTCCATTTTAAACATATTTTAAGTTTCATTTTGTGAAAAGAAGTCTGCACATATTAAAACAAAAAGGCAAAATATAAGCCCCGCCCTCCCACCCTATCTCAATTGTGATGATTTTTTTATTCGCCGTGAACCAAGAGGGCGGAGCTTAACTGCAAAATACTTATTTCTTTACCAGAAATTAAAAACATGTTTTTGAGTATCGTATTGTTCAAAGAATACTACGTAAATTAAGAAAAAAAAAAAGACAAAATTGTATAAAATTAAAACACATTTAAAATGGTAATTTTTTGTAAGAAAATATGGATTTTGCAATTAGGCTCCGCCCCTCGGCTTACGATGAATAAAAAAAAATCATCCGAAATGAGCGAGGGCGGGGCTTATATTTCCCCTTTGTTTTCTTAATACGCATAGTCATGTTTTCATAACAAGAAACTTAAAACATGGTTAAAATGGTACATTTTTGCAAGGAAACATGGATTTTGCAATTTTGGGGCGGAGTCTCATTGTAAAATCGATATTTCCTTATACAAATTTTCAGTTTTAAACATATTTCAAGTTTCGTGTTGTGAAAAGAAGTCTACACACATTAAAACACAAAGACAAAATGTCACCCCGCCCACCCGCCCTGTCTCGATTGTGATGATTTTTTTTATTCGCCGTGAGCCAAGGGGGCGGAGCTTAACTGCAAATTACTTATTTCTTTGCAAGAAATTAAAAACATATTTTTGAGAATCGTGTTGTTCAAGGAATACTATGTATATTAGAAAAAAAAGCAAAATATTACAAACTTAAAATACGCTTAACATGATAAATTTTTGTAAGGAAATATGGATTTTGCAATTAGGCTCCGCCCCTAGGTCTTGAAACGAATGAAAACTTCATTAGGTATTATTTAGATCAGGGCAGGTATGGGTGGGGCTTAATCTCTGACTTTAATTTTTTCTTAATATACAAAGTATTTTTTGAATAACACGATACTTAAAAACATGTCTTACAAGGTCATTTTTTGTAGAGAAATAATCAGGATTTTGCAATTAAATTCCGCTCTTTAGCTCTTGATGATAAAAAAAATCATCACAATTGAGACAGGGCGGGTGGGTGGGGCTTATATTTTGTTTTATTTTTCTTAATATACATAGGCGTCTTTTTAGAACAAGAAACTTAAAACATGTTCATTCTTTAGACAAATATGGATCATGCACTTAAGCTCCGCCCCTGTATCTGACAACCAATGAAAAAATCATCACAATTGAGACAGGGCGGGTGGGCGGGGCTTATTTTTTGTTTTATTTTTCTTAATATACATAGGCGTCTTTTTAGAACAAGAAACTTAAAACATGTTCATTCTTTAGACAAATATGGATCATGCAATTAAGCTCCGCCCCTCTATCTGACAACGAATGAAAAAATCATCACAATTGCGAATTGAGATCGGGGCGGGTATGGGTGGGGCCTAATCTTTAGCTATATTTTTTTTCTTAATATATATATATTATTCTTTGAACAATACGATACTCAAAAACATGTTTTTAATTCCCCATAGAGAAATAGGGATTTTGCAGTTAAACTCCACCCTCTTGGCTCTCGACGAATAAAAAAAATCATCACAATTGAGATAGGGCGGGTGGGCGGGGCTTATACCTTGCCTTTTTTTTTCTTAATATACATAGCCATCTTTTCACAACAAGAAACATAAAACATGGTTAAAATGATACGTTTTTGCAGGGAAATATGGATTTTGCAATAATGAAGCGGAGCCTAATTACAAAATCGATATTTCCTTACACAAATTTTCCATTTTAAACATGTTTTAAGTTTCATGTTGTGAAAAGAAGTCTAAACACATTAAAACAAAAAGACAAAATGTAGCCCCGCCCACCCGCCCTATCTCGATTGTGATGATTTTTTTGTTCGCCGTGAACCAAGTGGGCGGAGCTTAACTACAAAATACTTTTTTCGTTACAAGAAATTAAAAACATGCTTTTGAGTATCGTGTTGTTCAAAGAATAGAATGTACATTAAGAAAAAAAGGCAAAATATAATCTCTCAATTCTGATGATTTTTTTTTATTCGCCGTGAACCAAAATACTTACTTTTTTACAAGAAATTAAAATCATGTTTTTGAATATCGTATTGTTCAAAGAATATTATGTACAATAAAAAAAGGGCAAAATATTAGCCCCACCCACCCGCCCTATCTCAATTCTGATAATTTTTTTATTCGCCGTGAGCCAAGAGGGCGGAGCTTAACTACAAAATACTTATTTCTTTACAAGAAATTAAAAACATGTTTTTGAGTATCGTATTGTTCAAAGAACACTGTATAGATTAAGAAAAAAAGGCAAAACATAAACCCCACCCACCCACCCCATCTCGATTGTGATAATTTTTTTTGTTCTTAGCAACTTAAAATACGTTTAAAGTGGTAAATTTATGGATTTTGCAATTAGGCTCCGCCCTTAGGTCTGCCAACGAATGAGAACTTAAGGATTTTTCAGTTAAGCTTCGTGCTCTTGGCTCACGATGAATACAAAAAATCATCCCAATCGAGATAGGGCGGGTGGGCGGGGCTACTATTTTGCCTTTTTTTTCTTAATATGTGTAGACTTATTTCGACCACAAGAAACTTAAAACATGTCTAAAATGGTAAATTTTAAATAAAATTTGTCTAATCATCCCCACCAATAATGTGATGACATCACTTCAAAACTGTACTTAGCAAATGGGTTTTAAATTGTATAAAATAACAGTCCTAATTATACAGGATGGCTCAAAGAATTAATGAATCAGTCAATTTATTTTGTTGAATAAATCAAGAATTGCAAAATTGAATACTTTAAAATCTTGCAGACGTTTTAAAGTTATTGTAAGTATGTTAACTGTTAATCAAAATATATCTGTTTATTCCCTCCAAAAAAATTGATGACGTCATCTCAAAATTTTGCTGAATAAACTTCACCCAAAATTTGTAAAATATGATTAATTTTTACGTGTGATTTATTACACAGAGCAACATTTTCATAATTTAATATTTAAATAAATATAAATAAAGACAGAATAATTTAATTCACATCTTTTTTTTGCGTAATTTTATTTATTTTCACATCCTCAGCAACGTTTGAGTCTTGCATCAGGCTGATGACCCTAAATTTGCGCTAAATTGTTAAACCGTTGTGGTCAAATTCCTTGTACCTTCACACATCCACCGCAGAATTCCCCGAAACCGCTGACTCACCAAGGATACACATACGCACCGCGATGATCACATCCAAGGTTCCATTCAATTTCCCAATCGATAACATCTTCATCGCCAGTAAGCACCCATCAAAACTTGCAGGATGTCCCTATCCACCGTGTTCGTGACCGGGGGCGCCGGATACATCGGCAGCCACTGCATCGTGGAGCTCCTCAGCGCCGGATACGAGGTCATCGTCGTCGACAACTTCGTCAACAGCGTGAACGGGCCCGACGGCGAAGCCATGGCCTTGAAGCGCGTCGAGACCATCACTGGGAAAAGCATAACCTTCTACGAGTGCGACCTGCTGGACAAGGGCGCTCTGGAGGAGATCTTCTCCAAGGTGGGTGCCAAAACGTTGTCACAAAATGGCGGAATGTGTTCTTTCGCAGCATAAAATCGACTGCGTCATCCACTTCGCCGCCATAAAATCCGTCGGGGAGTCGATGGAGTATCCGCTGCTATACTACAAGAACAATCTAATCGGGATGCTAAATCTGCTCGAAATTATGGAACAATTCAGCTGCTACCAACTAGTTTTTTCTAGTTCGTGTACGGTGTATGGTGAACCTAGTTTTCTACCAATCACAGAGGAGCACAGCGTGGGAAATAGTATCACGAATGTGTACGGAAAAACCAAATATTTTATCGAGGAGATGCTGCAAGATATCACGCATGCTAACAAAAAGTGGAATATTATAGCGCTGCGGTATTTCAACCCTTTGGGGGCCCATCCCTCGGGGCTGATGGGTGAAGACCCCATTAAACCGTTCGCCAATATTATGCCGCTGATTTCGCAAGTGGCGATGGGGCGCTTACCAGTTTTGACCATTTTTGGCGGGGATTATAACACAGAGGACGGGACGGGTGAGTTTTAAAAAAATTATGGGTGTATCTAGTGTCTAATTTTTTTTTTTAAGGCGTTCGGGATTACATCCACGTTATGGATTTGGCCACAGGTCACGTGGCAGCCCTCAGCCTCCTCCAAAAATCCCACCAAAACTACAAAGTATACAATTTAGGTACAGGAGAAGGAGTTTCAGTGCTCCAGCTCGTAAAAACGTTTGAAAAAGTCACCGGGACCACGATTCCGTTCAAAATAGTGGAGAGGCGAGAAGGCGACATCTCGGTAATGTACGCCAACGCAGACCTCGCCGAAAAGGAACTGGGGTGGAAATCAAAACACACCCTGGAGGAAATGTGTACGTACTTTATTAATTTTTTAAACAATCATGTCAATGATCTATTATTACAGGCACTGATTTCTGGAGATGGCAGACGATGAATCCGCACGGATATCGCAACAAAACGACCAAAATGACCAACGGGCATCACTAAATAAATTTACTTACTTTTGTATAGAGACTTTCGTGTTGGAACCTTAGTACCTCGTTGCCGTAGCTCGTCCAGTTGGGGAGTAAGTAGCGGGCGAAGACCTCCAAACACGTGGGGTTGTCGGGGAGGAAGGGCTCCAACAACCCTATGACAAAAAAATAACAACACAAAAAAAAACAAACAAATTAAAGAAATACTTATTAAGGGTGGTTTGTGTGAATGAAGGGCGCTTGGCACACTAATCACGACCTTGTCACACGGCAACAACCCTTCAGACCCCCTACCCCCAAAAACAATTTGTTCAAAGGGTTGTTTTCTGGGTGGCTCAGCAAACTCACAAATAGGGACACCCATTTGGGTGACTTTCACCCAGTACCATTTCCCTAAATAAGACACACCCCATTTGGGGAAAATTTCGTCACGCAAGGCGCTCAAATGTTGGGCTGAATTAGTACACCACACTACAATCAAACCATCATGGTTTAAGTGATTTTCAAGTGGCAAATTTTTTAAATCTTCGTTGTACATCATGTTGTAACCATGATCCGTGTGTTTGCGTTTCCGACGGATGTATTTATTCCACCAGGGCGGATCCAAAAGGATCAAATCAAACTTCTCCTTGAGATACAAAGACATGTCTTTGACGTCTCTGCTGTAAAATTTGCAGTTGTGGGGGAACAGAAAAGCGCGATTTTCGATTATTTTACTAGTGGGGGCGTCGGGGTTCGCGCCGTGTAGGTCCGTGGTCAAGTTGTTCCCCGATTCGTCGTAAAGTGCAGTCGCTGTGTCCAGCGCTTCAGTGTTCCTAACCTCAAAATCAGTTTTAGTGAAATGATCTTCAAGTTCGGCGGACAAGTTCTGGAAGATAGTTTCGACATGACGGACCTTCAATTAGCGTTATTTAGTGTCAATAGTGATGCTTTCATTGTAAATAAATACCTCGGACTCGAACGGGTCGTCTGGATTTTTCGTCTTCTTGTGTTTACTTTTCGGGGGTTTATATGGGGCTGCAATGTTAAAAAGTTGTGGTTTTAGTTGAAAACTTGTCTCAGGGGTGTCCACTGTGCTATATATTTCGTCGATTAGCGCTTTGTGTGAAATAAAATAGCCGTATTTTGAATGTTTGATGATACTCATGTCAGCTGTCACTCGCGATGTGTTGCCAACTGTAAACACAAAAACACTAAAATATTTAAATCGAGGTGCTGTTGGTTGCATAATAAAATTGTTATTATTTTTAAATAGCAATGTTTAACAAAAATAAGACATCTGAATCCCTCTTTGACGTGCAATGAAATATTTCTCTGCAGACGACGCATTGTCGTACGAATTTGTCTGTCCGTCCGTCTGTCTGTCTGTTCTCAACTTTATTAAAAACAAGATATTAAAATAAATTAATACCCATTATTAAACTTCCCCTACTGGTCAATAAAACCATAAACCCCGTCTCGCGCTGACAACAATCCCGTTTCCAATTAACCAGTCGGCGTAAACACACCTCCATAAATTTTATATGAACCCACTTCCGTTCCTAATTTCCACAATTTTCCGTCGTGGAAATTTATCGGAAAAGAATGCCGCAGACCGCCGCAGAATAATAAGCTGACGATGATTGATGGACGTAAAAACAGAAAAGACTTTGCGTCTATTGTGTTCGAGACGTACAAAGACTTCGCCGAGAACACCAGCATCCATGGTCTCAAGTACACGGTGAAGAGGGACGTGGGGACGCACGAAAAGTGAGTACAAGGCATTTTGAAATCGTAAATAATAATAAAGTGTGTTTGCAGGATGTTCTGGATGGTCGTGGTACTAGCGGGACTGGGTGGTGCCGGGTACATGACGGTGCTGTTCTGGAATAGGTACACCAGCAACCCCACGAGGACCTCGATCTTGACGGCGTACGCCCCCAACACGGCGGTGCCTTTTCCGGCGGTCACGTTGTGCAACATTAACAGGATTATGGCGGACCAAGTGGAGGAGTTCGTGGAGGACTTGTAAGTAGGGTACTAGACCCGGCGCCTCCACCATAATACTATAATCATTTTAACAAACTGGAACACTACTAGGACTATACCAGAGGAGGATGTGGAAACTATCAGACGGGCGATACCTCAACTTCTTTCTTTCACAAGTCTGGATTCAAGAAAATACAACATATCAGAGTTGATGGTTTTACATAATGTCTTAGTAGAAAATAACTACAACGACATAGGTGTGGTTATGAAGAAGATCACACAACCTTGTAGACATATGCTTCTGAAGTGTATTTGGCAGTTTAAAACCGTCCCTTGTGACCGACTTTTCGAACACACTTTGACCACTGATGGCCACTGCTGCTCTTTCAATTATATTCGAGAGTACATAAAGTAAAAGAGCAACCCTTCAAGCTACTAATTCACCTACAAATAATTATTTTCAGCGCTAGTCGTCGCCCCATTCACACCCCATACAACGGATTTAACACCGGTTTGAAGCTACATTTGGATCCACAAATCCAAGAAATCCAGTACTCGAGTCTGCATTCCTCCGGCTTGAAAGTAAGTGGCGATTATTGCGTAAAAACAACTTAGGCAACCCATAATTCCCCAGGTGATGATTCACAGCCCGTGGGACTACCCCGGTTCCGGCTCCATCTACAAAATCGTATCAGCGGGCAGACAATCCTACCTCCAGGTCTCAGCAAGCAAGATAATCTGCAGCAGCGACATTAAAAGGCTCTCGATAGAACAAAGACAGTGCGCTTACAGCGACGAGGTTAAACTGAAATATTTTCAACTTTATTCGGACACGAACTGCCTGAGTGAATGTGAGGAGAAATATCTGTACGATAAATGCGGATGCGTCCCTTTTTATTATCCTTTCTCGAGTCAGTTAGGATTTTGTCAAGTGGTCACGTACTCAAGTATTTTCTTCCAGGGAGGCGGGTCTGCAATATCACCAGCATCCCGTGTCTGAAGGATTCGATAGGTAGGTAAAAGCCCGGTTCGAATTTGCCGCCGGTTCAGTTTAACGTTTCAGGGACGACATTGGTGAACATCACGAAGGCCTGCAATTGTCCTTCGCAGTGCGAGGACATATTTTATAGCGTGCTGTCGTCGACGGCCACGTTGGGGAGAGAGGAGGCCGCCCCTACGTCAGAATTTTTGTAAGGGGTGAAGGTAAAAGTTTTTTTATACAAGGGATGTTGTAGGGAGGATCAGAACGTCACAGAGAACAGTATCGCCCTCTATATTTACTTCTCAGGAGACAGGCAAACCATCCTCTTCAAGGACATCATAACTTCGACTATATACTTGTTGTGTAAGTAATTGACATTCTAATTAAAACCGGATGGTAGTTATCTTGACACTTTACCCACGTTATCACACACACCAACAAGACTGATAACGCCATTTATCATCTATAATCACTCTAATAACATGTTTCATTTTTAAATATTAATTCCATGCTGTGGCCATGTAACCGACACGTGACAATTTTAGCATCCTTTGGGGGCGTCTACAGCTTGTTCCTCGGCTGCAGTTTCGTCACCATCGTCGAAATCCTCTACTACTGCACCCTCCGCCTAATCGTCAACCTCAAGCTCGTGGGCAGGATCGACAAAACGGTCGCCAAGCCCAAGAAAGAGGACCCAAAACAAAAACTCTGGTCTTACGAAGGAAGCATCTTCCTCAACTGAACCTTTATTTCGTACTAATTTACACACCATTTTAGCTTAAGACTGCGCGTTTCGTCACCAGATGTCAGCACAAGAAACAACGCAGCGCGCCATCTGCCCAGCTACCACTGAATCATTTATTAAAACCTGTATTACACCGCTAAATAAATCACTGAACTAGTCTATCTGGGTTTTTCTCGACGTACTCGCAGCATTGTGCCTGTCTGGGGTAGTCGCACTGTCCACTAGTCGAATTGTAGACGAGGTAGTTGGGGCACGACATCAAGTAGCAGCACTGCTGCTCGTTGCAGTTGTAGTAGCTGAAGCAGCTGTCGGGGTTGGAGTGCAGGCCCGTGGACCACGGTTTCACGGTGCAGGTCTCCACCGGGACTAGCCCGTGGTTCTTGGAGCTGGTGACGCAGTGGTTGACGGTGGGGTCGAAGGTGTACTGCTCCGGACACGCGATTTCCTCGATTGTTACGTGATGGAAGAAGTCGAAGCGGAAGAAGGTGTCGGGGTTTTTAAAATTGCGCACTTGGAGCGGGAACTCGTCGAGGCGGGTGTCCGAGGTGATTTGGTAGCATGTCGAGGCCTCAAAAACTGCAATAGTGTTTAGTAAACCTGCAGATATTTTCGAGTCAAATACTTACGGACGAGCAAAGTTAACACAAGACACGATTTGGAGAACATCGTGAGTCGAACAATGGCTGGGAAGTGGTGATAGCGTGAGAATTGATAAGAATTAGCAACGATTGCTTTAATCTGTCGATGAGTGATAAAAACGAGATGATGGGTTGAGGTACATGTGAGAATTGATAAAACGTAGTTCGTTGCGTCGTGACGTCAAAATGCACATATTTTTTAAAGTCATCGTCTTTGAGTGTTCTTGTTAAAATTTGGAAGTCTGGAAATGCCGACATTTTTGTTAAAGTGGATGTAAGATATTAAAATAGGTATAAGTATGGTGGTATCAGCCGAAAAAGTGAACATTAAACTGCAATACTTAAAAAAAAACATCTTTGTACTTTAGATCTTTAAAAATTGATATCTGCTTGTGTCCACAAATGCAAGCTTAGTCACTTAATATTGATCATTAAAAGCTAAATACCGCTATAAACGATACGATAAGATTAAAGAACATATAGCCGGGTAATAATAAAATTGTTCTTTGTATTTGTATACACAGACACTTGAAATTTAATGAGAAATTACTAAAATCTTCCATATTTTATTTTGTTTATGGTTGTTAATTTTTTTGTTAGATTAGTAGTGGCAATTTTTAATAAAATATATAGTGTGTAGCACGTGCTCGGAATTTTAAATAACTTCACAAGAACTATAGTATGACATTAAAAATAATGTGTTTTTTATAAATTTTATTTACAAATTTAAAATAGTTGTTATGTCAAACAAGAAAGAAAAGTTTAATGACAGATATGTGAAGTAGCCCTTAAGAATTATTTTATTATCTCTATGGATAAGTTGGTACAGGACAGTAAAAACATAATAGTTACTAGATAATTACTTAATGACGTCAAAACTTGTTTTTTTTTTATCTAAAATGTGGTAAATAAAGCTACTAAAATAAATTTGTACGTCTTATTTTATTATTTTCGACTGTAACTTTCGCTGCTACATAAAGCCACAAAAATGCCACAAAAAAAAAGACGTCGACTACCAAAGACGAAAAAAGACGAAAAAAAGGGACCTAAAAAGATAGGAAAGAAGATGGAAAACAAAGTGGTTATAAAAAGACAAGAAACTCGACAAAAAAGCAACAAAAAGGCCGCAAAAATAGACCTAAAAGAACACGAAAAGGAAAAAACAACGAGCGACTACTAAAAAACCTATGAAATAACAAACCCCACAAAAAACAGTAAAAAGAGACAAATCATTAAAAAAAGGTCTAAAAAAAAAGTAGTGAAAAACTGTCAAAATGCCACAAAAATGGCATTAAAAACAAAGGACAAACAAAGTGACAAAAAACTATTTAAAAAGGGAGTAAAAAAGAGTATCAAAAAAAAACTACGAAAAGGTACTAAAAAGACGGTAAAAAGGGCATAAGAAACGAAAAAAAGTTATTGAAAAAGCGGTAAAAAATGCAACAAAAAAGTTCAAAGAACAGGGGGGAGACAAAAAAAGAGTAAAAATGTCGAAATCACGATAAAAGAAGTAACAAAAAAATTACCCAAAAACGCATAAAAAAGCCACAAAAAGACGACAACGACAGCAGGAAAAAACTCGATCAAAAGGAGTAAAAAAATAGAAAAAGTAACAAAAGGCCACAAAAATGTGTCAAGAAAGGCACAAAAAAGACGACAAAGAAAACGACCAAAAATTCGACAAAAAGAAGACGACAAGAAATGCAGCAAACAAAAAAACCGGTAAAAAACTACAAAAAGGCCACAAAATTAGTTAATAAAAACCACAAAGAGATGGCAAAAAAAATAACGAAAACCAGAAAAGAAAACCGACCAAAAAAAGGAGGTAAAAAACAAAAAAAACCTAGTAAAAAAAAGTATCAAAAAAAGAACACAAAAATGTACTAAAAGAAGCGACCAAAAGTTCGACAAAAAAGAGACAACAAAGAATCCAGCAAAAAAGTGAGAAAAGAAGGCTGCAAAAATGTGTCAAAAAAGCCACGAAAAGATGGGAAAAAACATACCAAAAGACACAAAAAAGAGGGTAAAAAGGGCATAAAAGCCAACAAGGACCAAAAAATGGAGAGTAAAAAACGACAAAAAATAGTAAGAAAAGCGCTAAGAAATGAAAAAAAAGGTTGAAAAAGCGGTCAAAAATGCAATAAAAAAAGTTCAAAAAGGCTCTAAAAAGGAGAGAAAGTTACGACAAACAAGTGGGAGATAAAAAAGGGTAAAAATGTCGAAAACGCCATCAAAGAAGCAATAAAAAAATAACACAAAAACGTATAAAATAGCCACACAAAGACGACAACCAAAACAGGAAAAAGGGCTATCAAAAAAAAAGGAGCAAAAAACAGAAAAAGTGACAAAAAGACCACAAAAATGTGTCAAGAAAGCTACAAAAGAGACAAAGGAGAAAACCAAAAATTGGACAAAAAAAGACGACAAGAAATGCAGCAAAAAATGTGGCGAAAAAAAGACAAAAAAAAGGCCACAAAATTACGTGAATAGGAGATAAAAATAGTAAAAAAGTAGTAAAAAAAATGGGAGTAAAAAGCGGCAAAGTGACAATAAAAGGCCACATAAAACAATAAAAAAGCGAAAAAAGTATCAAAAAAAGACAGTTAAAAAAAATAAAAAAAAATGTCAAAAAATGCCACAAAAATGCGCCAAAAAAAAGTAATGAAAAGACACATAGAAAACTACAAGAAAAAGTTGAAAACAAGGCATCTAACAAAATGAGTGACCAAAAGTTCCACAAAATAGAGACTACAAAGAATCCAACAAAAAAGGTGACAAAAAAAGTGACAAAAGAAGGCCGCAAAAATCTGTCAAAATAACCACGAAAAAATCAGAAAAAAACATATGAAAAGGCACAAAAAATATGGTAAAAAAGGTATAACAAACCCAACAAAGACAGATGATTAAAAATGAAGGTAAAAAAAAACAAAAAATAGTAAGAAAAGCACTAAAAACGAAAGAAAAAACAATTGAAAAAGCGGTAAAATATGTAATAAAAAAAGTTCAGAATGGCCACAAAAAGGACAGAAAGTTACGGCAAACAAGTGGGAGACAAAAAAAGGGTAAAAATGTCGAAAATGCGTTTAAAGAAGCAAAAAAAAAACCACAAAAACGCATAAAATAACGACAAAAAGACGACAACGAAAACAGGAAAAAAGGCTATCAAAAAAAGGCGTAAAAAACAAAATGTGACAAGAAAGCTACAAAAAAGACAAAGGAGGCCAAAAATTCAATAAAAAAAAGACGACAAGAAATGCAGCAAAAAATGCGGTAAAAAAGACAAAAAAAGGCCACAAAATTACGTGAATAGGACATAAAAATAATAAAAAATTAGTAAAAAAATTGGCAGTAAAAATCGGCAAAGTGACAATAAAAGGCCACATAAAACAATAAAAAAACGAAAAATGTGTCAAAAAAGACAATTAAAAAAGAGCGTAAAAAGTGTCATAAAATGCCACAAAAATACGCCAAAAAAAAGTAATGAAAAAACACATAGAAAGCTACAAGAAAAAGTTGAAAACAAGACAACTAACAAAAAAGCGACCAAAAAAAGTTAGAGAAAAAAGAGACGATAAAGAATCGAACAAAAAAAGTCACAAAAAAGCCTACAAAAATGTGTCAAAAAAGCCCACAAAAATGTGTCAAAAAAGCCACGAAAATATCAGAAAAAAAAAACATATGAAAAGACACAAAAAAGATGGTAAAAAAGGTATAACAAAACCAACAAAGACAGATGATTAAAAATGGAGAGAAAAAAACGATAAAAAAACAATTGAAAAGGAGGTAAAAAATGTAACAAAAAAAGCTCAGAATAAAAAGGACATAAAGTTACGACAAACAGGTGGCAGGCAAAAAGGGTAAAAATGTCAAAGCACAATAAAAAAAGCAATAAAAAAAAAATAAAAAAAAAACGCATAAAAAAGCTACAAAATTACGTTAATAAAAGCTACAAAGAAATGACAAAAAGACACGAAAAGCCGAAAAAAAGACGACCAAAAAAAAGGAGATCAAAAAAAGCAGCAAAAAAATCGAGAGTAAAAATCGGCAAAATGACAACAAAAAGCCACATAAAACGGTAAAAAGAGGAAAAAACTGACAAAAAGGTAACTAAAGAAAGAGAGTAAAAAAGTGACAAAAAAGATAACTAAAAAAAGAGAGTAAAAAAGTATCAAAAAATGCCAGAAAAATGCGCCAAAAAATTGATCAAAAAACACAATAGAAAGCTACAAGAAAAAGTTGAAAACAAGGTGACTAACAAAAAAAGCGACCAGAAGTTCAACAAAAAGAGACGACAAAGATTCCAGCAAAAAAAAATGACAAAAAAGCCTAAAAAATGTGTCAAAAAAGTCACGAAAAGCTGAGAAAAAAAATATGAAAAGACTCAAAAGACGGTAATGCCCTTTACCGTAGAGATCAAAAAAAAGCAATTAAAAAACTTGTAAAAAAAATTGAGAGTAAAAAACGGCAAAGTGACAATAAAAAGACACATGAAACAATAAAAAGCGATAAAAGTGAAAAAAAGGCAACAATACCTTATAAATAAAACACCACGAAAAGATGAGAAAAAAAAACGACATGATACGGCATAAAAAATGGCATAAAAAAACAATAAACACAGACTACTAAAAATAGAGAATAAAAAACGACAAAAAATAGCAAGAAAACAGCTAAAAAAACTTTAAAAGTGACTGAAAAAGCCACAAAAAAGACAACAAAGTGAGCAAGAAAAAGGCGATTAAAAAAGGGGAGCAAAAATAGAAAAAAGTGGCAAAAAGCCACCAAAAAGACGACAACGAAAACGACGAAAAATTCGACAAAAAAAAGACGACCACAAAAAAGAGATCAAAAAATGGAAAGCGACGAAATGAAACAACAAATAAAAAAAGGGGAGTAAAAAAGTGACAAAAAAAAGCTTTAAAAAATGCGTCAAAAAAAAACACAAAAAGGGACAAAGAAAGCGAAAAGGCGGAAAAAGCGACAAAAAGGGCTAAAAGGAAAATAAAAACTTGACAAAAAAGGCTACAAAAACAATAACAAAAGCGACCAAAGAAAACGAAGAAAAACTATTAAAAAAGAGGTCCAGAAAACGATAACAGAA